TTATATATATATATATATATATATATATATATATATATATATTATATTATATTTGCTAGTAAGGAGCTTGAGCATTGCACAAAACTTTCGATAATCTCATTTGATAGAACAATCTATTAAAATAAAGTCCAATAAATTACAGATAATTGCATTGATTTGGATAAAAAATTGAATAATGGCAGAAGATATAGATAGAGAGAAGAGACAAATATATAGATTGTGGGATATGATTTTCCTCTGAGAAGAGAGATAAGTTGATAACGAAAGATCCCTAAAATAGATTCTTAAAATTATTTCAAATAATTGATGCATAATCTACATATTTGTCTGGGAGGGTCTCATAGGATCATTACTCTATTACTATTAGATATAAATAAATTTATGCTATCTTAATTTGGGGAAAGGTTTATATAAGGGGGAGCCCCAAAGAAACACAGCACAACCATCAAAAGAATCACAATAGTCCCTCTAGAAAAAACTTCACCTTGGATAAGCTGATTTGAAATAGTCTGAGATAAAACTTTTGTAAGTGGATAAAAATATAGTAAACATGAGTAGTAACAATGACAAGAAGATTAAACACATAGCTATAATAAATAAGAAGTCAAATAATTTTTATAACAAATACAGCTGTATCAAAATTATATAAACACTAAGCTAAACCATGAAGTATGAAAGATAGAGGAGGTCAACATCCTCTTCCTCTCTTACTCACGTATATCCCTTTCTCTTTTCCCATTTGTTTTCCTATCTCCATGTATATATTTTTCTTTTTTTTTCTTTTTTGGAAGGATATCCCAAAAATTTACTCCTCTATGCCTCTCTCTCAAGTATATCTCTTTCATGTCTTTATCTATTTCTCTCTTATTTTTGTTTCTCTTACCTCTTTATTCACGTAGTTTCCTATTTCTATGTATATTTCTTTGTTATCATATTTTTTCTTTTTCAGAAAAGATGTCTCAAAAATATATTCCTTTATGCCTCTCTCTTAATCATATCTCTCTCAGGTCTTTCTCTATTTCTTTCTCATCTTCTTCTTTTTTACGTATCCTAAAATGTCTGCTATATATTATTTGCTCCATATTTTTTCACCTTTCCTAAAATTTCTCAGATACCCTCTTCCTCTCTCTCTTACATGTACCCTCCTTCCTCTTTTTTTTGGGTAATTCAGTGTAGAAGACAGGCCCCTACCAGTTTTTTTAAGTAGATTAGGAGTTAGCTCTATGATGGTATTAGTGGGGTGGTGTTAGTGGTGGGAATGAAAATCACAACATTGTAATTAGAGTATGGGGTGCTACCACCACGACTCAAGCCCCTTTCCCAAAAAAATGTCGTAAGTCAGTGAGGATTTGGGCCCCTACCCTTTAGTGAGAATGGAATGAGAGACCTCATCATGGGGCTCAGCAATACTACCGCTAAGGCCCCATGCCATTTTCTCAAAAGTGGTAAGTCGGTGAGGATTTGGGCTCCTATTTCATCATGGGGCTCGGCAATACTACCGCCAAGGCCCCATGTCATTCTCGCAAAAGTGGTAAGTCACCATTCTCGCAATAGTGCTCTATGAAGGTATTAGTGGGTTGGTGTTAGTGATGGGAATGGAAACCATAATTTGACAATTAGAGTATGGGGTGCTACCATCATGACTCAAGCCACTTTCCTGAAAAAAGTGGTAAGTCGGTGAGGATTTGGGCTACTTTCCAGAAAAAAGTAGTAATTCAATGAGGATTTGGGCCCCTACCCTTTGGTGACAATGGAGTCAAATACCTCATCGTGGGGCTCAGCAATACTATCGCAAAAGCCCCGTGCCATTCTTGCAAAAGTTTCCCGAAAAAAGTGGTAAGTCGTGAGGATTTGGGCTACTTTCCAGAAAGAAGTGGTGAGTCAGTGAGGATTTGGGCCACTTTCCAAAAAAAAGTGGTAAGTCAGTGAGGATTTGGGCCTTTACCCTTTGGTGACAATAGAATCAAATACCTCATCGTGGGGCTCAGCAATACTACCGCAAAGGCCTCATGCCATTCTAGCAAAAGTGGTAAGTCAGTGAGGATTTAGGCCCGTACTTCATCAGGGGGCTCAGCAATACTACTGTCAAGATCCCATGCCATTATCATAAAAATGGTAAGTCACCATTCTCGCAAAAGTGGCAAAATAGGTAGGGATTTGGGCTCTTACACTTTGATAAGAATGGCGTCAGAGACGTCACCATTAAGCTAAGTAATACTACCGCCAAGGCCCCAAGACATTCTCAATACCGTCCTTTCTCTCCCCTTAAAGATTGCCCTAAAATCTCTCCACATATCTCTTTTTCCATCTTTTTCTCACCTTCCTAAACTCTATCTACATTGAGCTAGCACGCCTATATTTGTATGCCTAAGCTTGAGCCATGCTTTTGGTATGACGTGGGAATGAAAATTTTCTAAGAGATATGATAAGATAGGAGACGGTATACACCCCATGATTTAATTAATTGTTAAATTTAAGAACCTAGTATATATTTGATCTCATTTAATAGGCATGAGTAAATTTAAGACGAGAGATAAAGTACATCAATTTTCTAAAAGAAAATTGTTCCATATGAGCTCGATCAAATTTCAACATATGCGGTCTAGAAAGTGTAAAGCATCCATCTTAAAGATGGATGCAATTAGGTGTTCTATCTAAAAACAATAGAAATACAAGTAGGTGTTCTATTTAAAAACAATATAAACTAGCAGTCCAAATGTTTTCTTACCATAATTATTACTACTAGTTTTTTAAATTTATTTATTTTTTCATACTCATGATCTCCATATTAGAGACTACATTTCCTTAAAAGTTAAGGCAAAAAATCCATCTCAAAAAAAGATTTATTAAGGGGTCCGTATTTCTAGATGTGAGGGTTTGGCCCGCATGCTAACCGTGTCTATATATATATATATGTATAAATCAATGTTCGCCTACCTTCATCACCATCCAAACTTCATTGCATAGTCACAGTTGTCTGGCAGTATTGCAATTTTTATTTTTTTTTCTACAAATTGGAATGACCTAAAATTTGGAACGTGTGTACATCTTAGTGAGACGTATATAATAAAAATGTCAAAAAAATAACTTATGAAAACAAAGTGG